CGATGGTCGCTGATGTACTGCTTTTGCCTCAAACTTCCAACAATACTGCGGTGCCTTGAAGGTGACACGTAGTGGAGCTCTGGCCCCTTGTAAGAGACTGCCTTGACCCTCCCACTTTTGCTACTCTCCCGATTTACTCCTAGTTCCTTCCTTCTTTCTCTCTTTCGCATCAAACCCTGAAGAGCTTGGCTGCTGCCGTATAACGGGGTCGCTATAGCTGGCCTAGAGCAGGAAGCCGCCGAAAAAGTAAACACGAAGCAAGAGGCAACAGATATGGCAGCCGAAAGAACGAAGGGCCCAGGGGGAGGCAGAACGTCACAGAAAGGCAACAAGGGGCAATGCACCGCCAGCACGTGTGTTTTAACATGTCGGAAAGTTTCTGAAGCTCTGTGGCATTGTCGTAGAGTGCAGGCGATGCCCAGAACGAAACCGTCAGAGGCACATCGAGCTTCCACAGGTGCCTTCTCGCGCTCAGTAGAGCCCTTCTGAATGACTGCGCAGAAACGTTTCGGAGTCCTCCATGCGATTTTTGTCATCATCATGATGCTAGGCTGTTCAAAGTATGTACAGTGGGAATCACGGGGAGCCACGACCTTATGCGACCAAAGATAAGAGGCATGAAGCGCTCCGTGAGGCACATTGCGCAGAAAGCCTCAGCAGTAGCCCGCTAAACCAGGAGTATGTAAATAGAAAACGCGCCAAGTCACAAGTTATTTTGCCGACGTGGTTTACAGGAGGAGAGTCTATAGCCATTGCTCTCCAGGGAAATGCACTAGAGAGCAATGAACAAAAGTATAAGTAAGACAAAGCGAGGAAAGCTCGGAAATAGGCAGGCCCATCCTAAGAAGCGTGCACCTATAAATTGAAAACGGTGGACCGTAGCCACACGCACAGAGAGCCTAGGCATTCGCAGTGCTGTCTTATGACAGCCTCACGCGTGCAATAAAAGAATACACAGTACACTGGGGTCCTTCCTAGGACATGTGTCTTGGGATGCGGCGACTCTTAGAATGCCATTGACTAGCTGGAGTGCAGCTCTATCGAGTTTCGGTTTACAGATGTAAGCTCGCCTTTACAACATGTGCACTCCCCAACCAGGATGAAAACAATGCAGTACAGCCTCGGAGTCCTTAGGCACCTTACACGCGCTATGCGGTGAGAATTTGCAAATTAGCTGTTAGAGCGGCCTTAGGTGGGATGCGGTGGCAGCCAGTGTAAAAACTGCACACGATACGAGAGCAGTTAGAAGAAAAAGAAGTCACCAAGTGTGTTTCATCAAGCAGGCAACAGACTACCGGCATAGACCAAGCAAGCAAGCTTGTGGTGGTCCTCATTCCTGTGCATCGCGAAGCTTGAGACACAGAGCATAGGGTTTCTTGAGTGGCCCTTCTAGTTGCACAGGACAGCAAGGGAGCGCCAGCATTCATGCCTGAGAAACAAACCTTTTTTGCCTCTATGGGGAGTGTTTATGGGTGCTTCACGGGCTGCTGGAAGCCAGCAACCACTCGTTTTTCGGGGTGGGGTAGCCTCGTGCAAATACTGCCCTGAAACTATGCAGTTCGAATGGAGAAAAGAGGTTGTGTGACCGAGACACTCACGCTAACAAAGGGTTTCACTAGTTGTACGTTGTGCCACCCTCTATGTAGCATCCACATGTTCGTCTATGCCTGGAGGCGCTTTAAGGTGATTGCTTCGGCTTCTTGAATGTTTTTTATGCGTTTACACGTGTGTGGCACAAATATATCCATGTATGTCTACATGCTGTGGCTTAAGCGTCTCTGGCATTCTGTTCAATACGACTTTTCCGAACAGCTCAGAGACAGCATCACCCAGCTGCTGGAGTCCTCCCCATAGGGACTCAATAGGGAGATACGTGACTCCAGACTCAAAATTAAATTTCACAGAGTTATATAGTGTATCTAATAGAACTCACTTTTTTCTCTGATCAGAAATTTTCAACATTGGGGGAAAGAAACACCTGGGGCGCGCGTAGCCGCACCCTCCGATCACTCCGATCATTCCCAGCCAGCTGCGCGTAGCTAATAATAGCGCACAACCCAATAATACTGCGTCCTTCGACATCGAGGCTTTTAAAAATAATGTTTTACTGACAGACGAATAAATTCCTAAATTACTTACTACTTCTGGTAAAAGTGTTTGATCGTAGCTACACTCACCAAAGTTACACTTCTAGGTACTTTCGTAAATACTACACACGTTTTTATGGAAAATCAATAGAAACTTGACTATTTGCTTTGGCCCTTTGCAGACCGCAGTTTTTGTGTACTACGCCAAATTTGTATAGTAACAGTCAATGGTGCGCGCATGAGGCCTGGATGCTTTGTGCTACTACCCTAGAGGGTCGGCAGGCAGGTGCCTGCCTGCACCGATGGCTCATCGAACGGCATACGTGTAATTGAGCCTGTGACATTATAGAGCTTTAAAATAAACCGTTTGCCTAAAAGCATCCAAACTCTCAATTTAAAAGGGACAGCGGTCAAAGTCTCAAAGCTACGGGTATCATGTCCTGTACCCGCAATCGAACACAGGCTACCTGTGCGGGGGCGTACACCCGACTACCCCGCATTACAGTACACTACACACCACTGCAAAAAACTACTTTATAAACGCCTTGCTGTTACAGTTACACGTTTTGGTGAATGCGTACACACCTTTGGTCATGGTCTATCGTTCAGGTTCAGAGCTTAACTGCCTCTGGGGAAGTATTGCGAGGTAGTTAGGGAAAGAGGGGGCGGTGCAAGCTATTACCCAACTAAAGATAGTTCCCAAAAATGCTTCTATCGTACTCGTTTTTCAAATCCAAGGAACATATTGGGGTTCTGTTCCGTCCTCCCGTTGCAAGGTAGGGATATCTGGCGTGGGGCTGCACGGCGCGGTTGAAAAGGAGTGGGTGTGTGAGAGAATGTCCTTATTAATTCCCTATAGACAAGAACCTACGCAGAACATTATAAGAATCAGCCTGCTGTCCCAATAGACGGCTATGAAAGGGACGAAAACATTAACAGGTTGATGGTAGAGCGGAACCTCTGTAAGGCGACAACTGCAACTCAGCGGGCGGTTGCAGCGGCTGCTGCGAGTTGCTGCATCTCGTCTTTGGGTTTGCCTATAGCTACACCGTCAGAATACAAGTGCGGACGAGTTTCTGTATGCTCTTTTCTTGGCATTTTGGGGCGGATTTCTTGTTTGTAGTCGTGTTGCTGAAGCTGACCCTTTGGCGCACCCTGCGTTCGTTGTATGCCGGTTCTCTTCCCACTTTCTCTCCCGCCACACTTTGCTATTCCTATTCACCCATGTTTTAGATTACAAGACACCTATTTGATAGAAACCAATTTATTATTCGTATTTTCAGCTCGAAGACAAGAGAAGAAAGCAAAAGCCGAACAAACGTCACCGTCGTGAGGGGCCGCTCCATCCGCAGCAACACGCCTGTACCACAAGGGCCAGGGAGGGTTCGGGTCGTTCCCAGACGGTTTCTCACGAATTACTCGTCATTTGCTTTTGCTTTCTTTCTGTCTTTTACTTTGGAGACACCTGAATGCGACCAACGACGACAGAGAAGGTGTAATCCTCTCTTGCTCGGCCTGGCCGCGCAGAGCCGTTCACGGGGTCATCCCTCCTGCCACGTCAAGGAGATTTCTTTGCCTCAAATTTGCATTAATGAGCAATTAGACGTGTTATTTGTGGTCCCCTACTTGGCGGAAGCCCACCCCTGAGTGTACCGACACTGTACAACGCCAGCAGCCTGAAGCGCTGCCGAGGCACTGGGGTCACTTCCTTTCTTTTTGGCCTCTCCCGCAACGCCTTAGCAGGCAGGAAGCCAAAAAGCTCGACAGGATCTTTGAAACGTCTTTAGTCTTAAGGTTCTCCCGATACGTCGGGAAGCCCCCGTAATCTGTTGGAAATATTTAAACGGGGGCTCAGCATGTTCATGAGCTGATCACACAAGACATACACCAGCTTTTAGAGCCGCAGTTGCTTTGACGGTTTGTTTTCTTGGCTTCGTGGAAGACACATGGGTGGCTGCAGAGGAGCAACCGCAGCCATTCTTCTTGAGCACCCTGAATTCGAACTCTGTGCAACGCGTCACCCCAGCGTCTCCGCAGCGTCAGCCGTTTCAAAACACCTGCACAGCAGAAGCAGCAGCAGAGTGTATACAGTCTTAGTACCGTTATGTTAATGGCCTGACTCCGGTTCTCTTTCTTGAATTCACAACAACCAGAGGAAGTGAGGCTCCCAAAAGCCTTCCTCGTCTTTCCTTTTGCCACCAGCTGCTGCAGCAGCACCTGTGGCTCCTCCCTCCCCGATGCTGCTGCAGCCGCTTGTCACTCGGCTCCTTCGGCTCTTTATCCTTTCATCTTCCACCCTCGGCAGTCTCCTCTGCGCGTGTCTTTCTCCCGCGGCATCCTGTCGAGTTCAAACTCTCAGAGTCTTTCCTTAGGCGCCCGTGCGATTGGTCCCACTCTGCGGCTCAGTACCCTCCTAGCCTGCGTCGAGCTTGAAGCATTGTGTTGGAGCTGCCGGAAACGACTAACGCCGTCTATCTGCAGGCGTGAACTACTTACCCCCGAAATTGAACCTCGTGGCTCCGCTGCTGCTGGGGAGAAAACCGACGATACGCTGAAAGCAATCAACCAAAGAAGAAGAATAAGCGCCGTATATACATATATGTATATACACATATATATATGTATATACATGTATATCGCCTTGTGCAAAGCCGCAGGCACTAAACGACTCCTGTAGGTGGCGGTAGAAGCAGGCGAAAGAAATAAACAGCAGCAAGCCAAGCGAAGCCGAATACTGCAGCAACCAACTCAACAAGAGAGCAAAGACACCGCTTCCCCCCTCCCCCTTACACCCCGCAAGACTGATTGATGTCATGAGCTGATCCAGAGGTTCCGTGCAGAATCAAGATGCACGAGGCGCTCTACTCGTGCAGCTCCGTTCTTTTGAATTGACAGAGATACATGACGGCTGCAATGCGGTCTCTTGAAGCCTCCCCTTCGGAGGCAACAGCTAACGGCCCCTGCAGACGGCTCAGTCTGCCTATCCCCAAAAGAATAAGTCCTCCAACCCGCGGTGATTTTCACAGGGAAAACCTTTGCATGCATTCGGCTCACAAGTACTCCTGTGGTGTCTCGCCCTCGCACTTCTCGGATGCCTCAACAGTAGACGACGCAGAGGAGGGGCCTCCGGGGGTACCTCTAGCGCAGCAGCCGTACAGTGTCTCCGATATAATGAGTCTATTTCCTTTGGATCGCCTGATTGGCACAGGCTCCCAGAGTTTTGTCTATGCGTGCCACTCTCTACAAGATTTCGAGGGAATTGGAGGGGAGGCCTCCCCCCTCGACGTGCCTTTGTGCATCAAGCACATTGTAGCCGATGCATCGAGGGAAGCCCTCACTGCTGCCTGCCGCCTCATCCATCCCCACGTCGCGCGTCACTTTGCTGTGCTCGACGACTGGAGAGGCCTCTGGATCCTGATGGAGTACGTGAAGGGCCCCGATCTTGCGGTGTACGTACACCGCAGGGGGCGCCTTGGCGTCTCGACTGCTAAACACATTTTCAGGCAACTCATTTCTGCTCTTGACTGCGTGCATTCCAGTGGACTTGTTCATCAAGATGTCAAGCTCGAAAACATTGTCGTCAGGCACAGCAGCGGGCTCGAGCATGAGCAACAACCCCACCACCTGCGCCAAGAAAAACACACACAAGAGATCAGGGAACCTTGTCAACGCGGGGCCCTCAGCGATTCGGAGGAGCTCCCAGAGAATAAGAGCCCTCCAGCCTCTCCTCCATATCTTGAGGAAGAAAAAGTAAAAGACTGTGTGCCTCTTGAAATCCTCTTGGTGGACTTTGGTTCAGCAGAGTTGGTATGCCCTCAGTCGCGTCTGAATAACATTAGACCTGAGGGATCTCCAGCGGGCACTGCGATGTACATGTGAGCGCGAGGCGACATTCACTTAGTCCTAGCTTCGTCTGCTGCCTTCCCTCTCCCCTTGCGTTCCCGCGCGTTCAATGCGGGAGCCTCGTTCGAGCTCTGAGCGCCCGACTTTGTGCGTACGCGTGTTGCTGCCGATTCTGCGCTTGCTTGGCGCGCGGCCCCTTCGTCCTTTAGACTTTTTTTCCTGAATGCCTCGTTTGTCTTTCTCGCCGAGCTCCCTTTAGTGGCGTCTGCTTGTTGCAGCTGCTGCCTCGTCGCCATCGCCGAGCTGTCTGGTGCGAGCTCGGGGTGGGGGAGTGCAGTGCCGTCTGCAGCGCGCGCGCGACGGGCGGCGCTCTCGCTTCCTCCGCGCCGCCCCCCCATAGCTCCCAATTTTTCTGACTCTCCTGCTGCGTCTGGCTGGCGATTTCCGCAGGGCCCCCGAGACATTCACCGACGCCCCTGCATGCTGCAAGAGCGACATATGGTCGGCAGGGATTTTGCTCTGCCTTCTGCTGGTGGGCAAGTCGCCCTTTGAAGGTTCTAGCGTCCTCTCGACGCTGGCAGCGGCAGCAGACTGCAAAAGTCTCTGCAGCTGCAGCGACGCAGAGAGAGCTTCTTCTCTCAGAGACGCGCGAGACACCCACGCATTAGGCGTGGGTGACGTCTTCGCGCGCGATCTCCCTGGCCGCAAGAGGAGACCACAGGATGAGGCAAAAAGTATGCCAGGTCAGGCTGCCGCAGGCAGCCTCTCGAGTTGTGTCGCTTCCGAAGGGGGAAAAGGGGGGCCCCATAGGGGCCCCTCTCGGCTCCCCCCCGGAACCGCAGGATCTGACGCCGTCCTTCAGCGCTTAAAGCGAGTCTTTAGCGATCCCGAGTGGATGGGCGTGCCTTCTGAGGCGAAAGCGCTGATTGCTCGAATGTTGGCGGTGGACGCCAGAGTGCGACCCTCTGCTGCAGAGGTTCTGCAGAGTGCTTGGTTGGCGTCTCCGTGAGCAACTGGACGCTTTAAGGTCTTCCCTTAGGCTCGCCTTCCGCGAGAAGGCGCACCTCTTATTTCGCGCGGCGCTTGCACGCGTGGATCGCGAAAACGCGGCAAGCGCAAAGCTTGGGGGTCGAGAGGAGGAGGCGTCGGAGACTGCCTCCCCTCTCTCCCCACTGCCCCCCAGGTCTAGTGGGGAGAGGGCTGTGTCTGTCGTCGAGGCGTTGCTGGCATCTCAGGAGGAGGGGGCAAAGATTGCCGTCCTCCGTGGTTCCTCTCCCGTTCAGGTGGGCAGATCGGCGCAGTTCAGCTGCATCCGCTGCGCCGACATCCATAGCAAAAAGAGGGAGAGGGCCTTTCGAGAATTCGTCACAACCTCACGGGTGTAACGACAGCAGCACGGCAGGTTATGAAAGAAGGAGGGGGCACAGGAATGCTGCACCAGGATGCAACGATCTCCACACACACACACACACACTTCGGAGCCTGGAGAAGCGCGTACACACTTCCCGCGTAACATGTAAATGTACTTCTGTATGAACCCTTTTACATCGCCTTCTCAAGGCGCCTCTCAGGACGAGAGGCGCTTGCTCCACCCAACAAGCAGCAGGAGCTGCGGCTGCTGTACTCTGAAAATGCTGGCAGCCCACATCAAACCCCTAAGGGAGAAGCTCTCCCAGGCGCATCAGCAGCTCCCTTTGTAACTGAAGGTAAGACAGCGGCTCCAGGTTTTAGGCAGCCAATCGTCTACTACTTCTAAAGGACCCCGCAAAGAACTGATGGTCCGTGCTGGTCAGTTCATCGACCGCTAGCTCTTTCACCGTGCTCTCAGTTCGCGAGCGCGCGAGCTGCTGCAGGCGCCGCACTTTGAGGCTTTCACACTGCCCTTCTTCTTCTCCCCTTCGTCATTATCTCTCGCGTTTCCGGCAACTTGCGCGTGAGGCGAGCCGTCTCTCTGTCGGCTGTCAACCCCCGCCGTTGCTCCTCGGATTTTGCCCGTCTGAATAGTTTAACCTTTCAAAAGGCGGGGGCTCTCTAGGGTGTACTGCCCGCCATGCCAAAGTGGCAGCTGTCGCCCTCATTTTTCCGCTTCCTTCATAGTGATTCGCCTTGTGTGCCACGGAGCCGCCGGTAGGCGGAAAGTGCCACAGGCCGCTGGGGTCTTCATGGGGATCTTCTACAGCGTTGCCGGCACATCGACGTCGTCGTTGAATGCCCTTTACAATCATCCACAAAATCCCCTGCCCTCTTCATCCTCCTCGCTCTCCACTTGCCCACCCCCCGCTGCGGCGTCCCCCCGGCACACCCAACAAGGGTTGCCCCTCGGTTCCACACACGCAAACAGACACACTACGTTTTGTATAGCGTGTAAATGCTGTTAACGTCTGTCATGAAAAACCGCACAAACAGAGACTGCCTGCACACGAGTTCTCCCTATGAACAGATCAGGCCACCAGCTACTCTGGTGGGCGCTCCAGATGTATGCAATGCCAATAAAGCATTCAGTTTGATATGCACATTTCATTACCTACATACACATGTACACGCTTACTGTAGAGGGATCAAAGAAAACAGAAAATACAAAACAAATAATCCTTACTGTCTATATAGACTCTAGAGGTATTGAGGCAAACACGTAAATGGTATTATAACAACTGGAAAGGAAATTATTCTTCTTTTGAGGCCTAACGAGTTCATCAAAAACCAAATCTCAGAGAACCAAGGCTCTAATCCATATCTGAAAGCGTTGGGAGAAATACGAGGGCTATCAGCTTTCCTGCTTATTTTGTGAACACATTCCATGAAGCTCATAGTCTTGAGACTGCCTCCCTAACGTCAAACATGGGTGCCCTTGGAATCTGTAAGGAATTAGAAACGTACAAGCTAGTGGCAGGCAACCCCCCGATCCACCCTTTAGGACCATGTATGCCTCGTAGGAAACACTCAGATTGCTCTGCAACGTATTCATTCACCGCACAGATGTAAAGCACTACATCAGGGCCCTGTTTCACTTCAACAATTTTCATCAAGGTGACTACAGGTTAGGCGTACCTGTGTGCTGTTATCGAAATTTAGCATGGCCAGGTTCCCCGTGTATAAGATGCCTTGATAATGTTTTAGCCTTCGTAAATGGGCTGCGTTCAAACTAAGAGCGGCGTATAAGGTCAGCTGATTATCGCACAAGAGTTGCTTATTTGTGCCTTTAAAATGGGTACTGCACATAGAATCCCGCGTTCATCAAGCTCAACGATTAGGGGCCGCTCGAAACATTTGAAGGAATAGAATCTGGTTTACTGAAGAAAACGCTAATGGCTTGGAATTAAAGACTTCGGTATAAGGCTCTACTACTTAGCTATAAAACGACTTTTCAGTGTGAAGAAGTGGCACTCGAAAAAAGGAATAGTGTATCCCACTGTAGAAAATTGCTCATGGCTATTATACAGGTAATAAGATCTGCAAGTACTCGTAGAGGTGAATGATAGTGCTCGAGACGCTGTAGCCTCCCAGTGAACTAGCCGTTATAGTCGTATGTGCTTTTTATCGCGGGGTTGGAGGTGGATGAGCTAGAAAAATGCCTCCGAGCCTCAAAGGGCATGATAAAACTATGGCTCTTTATCGCTATCAGAATTAACGACAAAAATTAAAAGCAAGTTTCAGAGGTATCAAACACACTTTGCACTGACCAGCTGAATTGTACGGTCTACCAACAGCACAACACTGATATCCGCTTCAGAGATCCCTGAAGCGTGGAAGCGGTGGAGTTTGGTTATTTCAGCAACGAAAAGTAATGATTTGTATGCCTTTCACCCTAAGGTATGTGTGGATCTGTGGAAGAGCCATACTCGGTACCGGCATAGCACTCACCACCATCTGAGGGGTTTCAACGAAGTTTTCCCTTCTCTAATAAAAAAGTTAGAATTCAGTCCCTTCATGATAAGAATAAAGAAATAGAGATACAACTCGCATGCATCAAAGCTGCCAGGAAGTTCGTCTTGCCCTGAACCTGGCTAGAGCGGCGCCTAGTGGCTTGTCGGCAGTGGCGTGGCGGCTGAGTGATGGCGGAAATCCGTGCTTTATTCGATAATTTCAATAGCATCTGATCATTCAATCGCTCTTAACTTAAAGATTTCCGGAAAATAAGCACTATATGGACGCTTTCTCAGAGTGCACAAGGGCATATCGCCATGGGCAGCGCAAGTCATCGACGGGCGTTTGATATGGATTTCCCCGCATTTATACCCTAATACTTTCTCGTTTACAGGTCTTTTTACTTGCAACTAGCCGTGTAGTGCAGACATTGCAACCTTCGTGCTGTGCGGGCTCGCTTTCCGTCTGACCGGCGCCTGCCGCAGAAAAGCCTCCAGAAAGGTCCACTGAAGTGACTAAGCCTAATGATATGGCTATACCAGCAGGAAATTAATATCAACTGTCTATGAAGTGATGAATAGGCATTGGAAGCGTTGGACACGAGCTTAGTGGGAGTCGACACCGGGAAATGCGATGCTGGCTGATTCTTGACAACTGCGTGCTGACGGTCTGAGTCTTTCCACAATGACCGTTTCTCCAATGAGACTAACTACGGTAGCTGATGCCAATGTCAGTATTGTTGAGACTCCGTTGGCTTCCACGGGCTTCTCAGAGAGTTCTAATGGGCCTGTACACATAGCAAAATGATTAAAACTTGACTAGATGCATTGCATGTAAATTCACATATATAGACTTAGATAGGTGAGTATGAATTGCCGTTACTTATGGTATTAATACCTGATAGTAATGTCTTGCTCAGGCTGTGTTCTGCTGCTCGCAGACCTTGTTGATCGTTGGTGCGTTGTTTCTAATCATCTATATCGTCCAGTATTTCCGTCGTCAAGTGTCCTTTGAGATAGCATTTCACGAATTTCTCGAAGACTCCGCAGCATTCTTACAAGTAAGTCCGTTTCTTGGCGACGGACTGGTCTTCGAAACTTCTCCATGCTCATCATTGTGTGGCTTTTCCACAGCTAGACGTCGGATGTACAAGACATTGTTTGCTCTTGCAGAACGGAGGCAATATCTCGGAGTTGCGGCAAAGGGTTTCTGACTTCTTTGGGGCTGAGACCTCCATAAAGTGTCTATCAGATAGGCACACGACCACCTTTCTGGAGTCGATTGTCTCATCGGGATACCGGGAAGCCAATGAGGCAAGATGCCATCTTTCTCATAGTTGGCGTTTCCTCTATCTGCATTGCTGCTGGCGTCACTGTGTCAGGCTGGGGTGTGCGCTCTTTGGATGTGATGCGGGGTTTTAGGAATTACCGAGGATAACATCGGAACTTGCAGCGCTTGGCGTACCGTTGGATTCTTCCCAGATTTCCCTTCTGTTTCGAAGGTAACAAGACATCTCCCACTGCTTTTGATTGTGGCCGTACAATGGGATTGTGTTGGCTCAATCATCAGACATTTGTAATTTGTGATGTCACAGGGCGCGAGGCATTGTAGAGCATTTGAAGAACGAAGCAATTCCCACCCACCAGAACACAGGGGCAAATTTCTCCTATCCCCGTTCCTATGTCACACTGATGCTAAAAGTGGTCTATTTGGAGCTAGAAAACGTTTGCCACATAATTATGGAAGATCCAGCGAGTTGTTTGCTTGCCCTTGCGGTATGACGCAAGGCGGTGTGGAAAACGCACAAGTGCGGCACCACTCCTGTAAATTGCAGAGGTAGAGCATTCTTCACCAACGACTTTGATAACATGTTTGTTGAAAGCGCCACTTTACAGCTGTCGCCATGAAACCAGGCTAAGCATCCTTAACAGCGAAACAGCTCATTGTCAGATCTGCTATTGTGCATCCAGACAGCCGAGCGGCTGTATCAGAAGATGACAGGGAGGGAATGGTGATGCAGACACTTTTACGAAGACTTCTTCCGTCATCAATACTTTACAAAATCAACGATACCAATTCCATTCAGCATGGCATTAACGTTTTGTTGCCCATCCATCAGCAACAACAGAAAATATACGGCGAGCGTCTGCAAAGACGCCAGGGTGAAAACTTGCATAAATCCCCCGTACCGGCGGCGGATCACGAAAGCGATTTCGAGTTCCGCATACTTATTGAATGGCTTGTTGCTGCGCTGGACACTAAAGCACTTGTCCTGTGACTTGATGCTGAAGAGAATAAGATTTAAGCGCTCCGCCGTGTCCGAGCTTTCTAGCGTATGCAAAAGGGTAGCGGGCGGTTTCTCCCCAGAGGAGGCCAAAAGACAGAATCGAGGTTTAGGTCCTCGGGTATTGCCCTTAAGAGAAAGATTTGCCAAATTCCCAGTTGGAAGGATTATTGAAAGTCGCTACATTCGGGCGCTCTACCGAGCTCCTGCCGGGATACAAAAAGTCCTGGTGTACCTTAAGTGCAGGTATTGCACGCTATCGTTTGATTGTCTCCTTTTACTGCTAGAACGCTTTTGCAGGGGATCAGTTGATGCGATTCGGCTTCTTCTCCGTCATAAGAACGTCCCACACGCGGAGTTTTATGCGGACCGGTCATTCGGCTGCGAAGAAATAAGAAGCCGTTTCGAGGCAGCGGGCCTTCCCGCAACGCTCCCATACTTTTCCGACAATCACTGTGAAATGACGGGATCAAGAACCATCCTTATTTATCTCGCAAAGCAGCTAAAGTTGTACGGGACCTCCAGAGCAGATGCAATACACATAGAGTCCATTGTTGACTACTGTTTTGCCGCGTTACACACAATCTGGGGGGCGGAATGCAAGTGCGCCTACCCTCAAGAGCTCAACAGGGAACGTGCGCGTGCCCACTACTGCCGAGACGAAGTGTTGCCTATGCTTCAGACGATGTGCCGCCTTGTGAGCCAGGCTGCGACACGAGAAGAGGCACACGACGTGTTTCAGTCAGGGGGGCGTCAGCAAGGAATGCGGAACAAAAGGCTTGCTCAGTGGATAGTTGGCGAGGTACTTTTCGTAGCAAACACCGCGGTTTCACTGTTCATGCACCATGAGCTCCTCCCGACAGTTCTGCGTGGCCGACATCGCCGCTTACTCGATCTTATCATCCGTTGTTAGGTGACTAAGCGGCACTATCCCCTGTGGATGCTTATTCCTAATCCTCTGTCCATTTCAGAGAATTTGGGGATTCAACGATCCTGCCCTTTTCGCCACTGCGGGGCTTCATGGAACAGGTCGAGGCGTGCAGTGAAGGAATTAAGGCTTTCTGTGACTCGGAGAGACGATTCTGAAGAGTTTGCAGGCGCTGCCATGAGAGTTGATCTCCCACTAGGGTCCATTGCTACAAACGTACACCGGACGTCCAAGCTAAATTTAGACTGATTTTCTGCATTGCCTCGCACCGAAACGGGCTGACACTGCGGTCCCTCTCGAAAGAAACAATGACACTGTGCCCAGACAGACTCTTTTTCGTGGCAAAGCCACGAGTGTGATGACAGCAAGGTGCTTTAGAAAATTCAGAAGCCCAGCTCCCACAGAGCTACGGTTTCACCAAGCGCAACGGAATGTCGGCCATGCACACACAGAAGCACGAAAAACGGTGCACTCGGAAACAACAACACACAAACGGTGTATTGTTGCTGTTTCTGAATTAGTGCTCACCAAGGGAGCCAATGCACTAGAAAAACGGCCGATCGCCATCGGGTGGAGGCGGCTGGCTGCAGCCGACTTCCTAGAAAGTATACTGTGGCATGGCGAATCTGCAATGGTGCACAGTTCGCCTTGCGCTGGAGGCATGAAAGGCTGCACCTCCGGAGAGCCAGCTCCAGCTGACCACCCCTACGGAATAGTTGCACCGCGAGAGGCAGTGGATGTTGCAGCAGCCGCTTTGACGAAAATGGGGTGTCAGTCGAGCAGACGCGGCTGCTGTGTGGCGGTAGCAGCTTCTCTATCAGATTCAACCGGAGCACCTGGTTCAGACTGGCCCAAGAAAAGGCCTCTCTCCTGAGTTTCTTCCCCATCCCCGTTTTCCATGAAAGCTGAACTGCCGGATGGCGGCGCGGAGTCTGACGGCGAAGTAGCAGCAGGGGCAGCAGCATCAGCACACCCGAGTGCCGCCATGAACGGCCTGGCCCCCTGCAGTGGCTCAAGTTCGTTGTTGTTGCATTGCGACTCTGAAAATGAAGCGGCTCCTGCAGCCACCCCCACATGTGGGGTCAAGCCGCCGCTTTGTTGAGCTGCTGCGTCGCTGTCTTGTTGAGCTGCTGCTTCGCTGCCTTGTTGAGCTGCTGCGCCGCTGCCTTGTTGAGCTGCTGCGCCGCTGCTTTGTTGAGCTGCTGCTTGGTTGGCCACCTCTGCAGGGAAGGCCTTAGTATCGCAACCTATCGGTGCACTGCTGGCGGCGCATGCTGCCTCTCCTGCTGCTGGTGCGGCTGGCCGCTCCGAAGCTTCTGCTTCTGCCCTCTGCTCTGCCAGCGAAGACAGGGATGCTCGTCGGTCAAGAGAATCGGAGGCTTCGAGAGAGGGGGGCCTCTCTACCTGCGGCGAGGTGTCAATTGGGGAGAAGAGCTCCCCCCGCTGCACTGCGCGCCGCCGCCGTTTGATTTCCTTGATAGCCAAAAAGGCCCTCATGCCTGCAGCCCTCGGCGCATTCAAAAGTAGAGTAAACACACTCAGCTTGAAGCCACGCCGAAATCCAAAACGGCTGCACCGGAAGTAGCGACTGATTGTCCTGATAGACGCACACACACATGCACACATAAATACACATACACACACACACACATGCACACATAAATACACATACACACACATACACACACACACACACACATACACACACACACATACACACATACATACACATACACACACATACACACACACACATACACACACACGTAGACAGGCGCCTAGCATACAATACGTATAACATAGGCAAACATGCATGCGGAGCCGAATATCCGCAAGTGCCCCTGCACCAGGTTCACCCCGACACACACTCACACGGCTCCTGGCCGCACGTGGCATGCACGCATGTGTGTGCATTCGCGCGGCTCCTCTTTAGGCATTAGCATGCCTCTCATTGAAAAACCTTGCGGGCATACATGCGTCGATGAAAACATACATGCGAATGCAAGCCAATGAGTACGCACACACGCCGATCACGTATGTTCAAAGATAGCTATCGGCACAAAAAATTTATGCAAGACGCTCTTGCCGCCCTCCACTCTGCGAATCGCCAGAACGGCGTTTTTCTAAAGCGCTCGATAAGCAGCCACACAGCAAGGAAGCAGCAGTTCTTCGCACGCTTGCCTCGAGTCCGGCTCCTTCCATGTGCACAGCCAGCTTTCGACGCCCTTGTGGAAGCTGATACCAGGGATCTTCACAGCATATGTCAGGCGACGGCTCAGAAGCACCAGAGCATCGGCAGTCGAAGTGACACCCATGAAGCAATTCGCCACGATTTGTCTTCTGCGCTGCTTGAGAAGCGCTTCAGCGTCATCCTCTGGAGCCGCCTTCGTATCCTCGGCCCCATGGGCACCCCGCGCATTTCGGTCAGAGCATTCCGCCAGCAGCGCGGCGTTCATCGCCAGAGCCTCTTCCTCGCGATCTTCCTCGTTCTCTGAGACGCAGCACCGGAGACAGGCAAAGAGGAGGTAACCGTCCGACGCCGCACTCTTCCCCGACCTAGCTGCCTGTTTGCCTGTCGTTCAAAAATGAAGAAAGGCCCCTCCGAACCGCAGACTGCTGTGTTTCCCAAATCCGCAACTCATGAAAAACTCCACACGATCGCCCTCTTTAAAGTCTTTCCCTTCTGCCCTTCGAGACACGCAGGAGGGCAAAATCAGCCGGAAAAGAATAAACACAAACGCCACTTGTGCTTTCGTCTGTTTCAGGTTCAGCCCAGCTCTACCCGTCAGGAAATCGCTGTCCGATGCAAAATCGAAATCTGGAGGCGGCCGAGGCATCGCTCCTGATCTGTCTACAAGCAAAGGCCTCGACATGCCGTCTCGCCGCCGCTTCATAGTACCTGTTTCGCAAGGCGCAACGCAAGAGTCGTGCCCACCAATAGCAGTGCCGCATGCATGCAACGTGCGTGTGCGGCCTCTACGCAGTGCCGCATGCATAGGATGGACACGAGCTCGGGAGGGATCGGTAGCAGCTAATACAGGACTGCCAGAGACAGAAAAGCGGCATGCAGAGTGCTCCCTCTGGAGTTGCTTATAACAACACGCAGGTAGCCAGCCAGCCAATGCACGTTGCACAAAAGCAGCAGCACGGCTTGGCCACGGACGGTGCATGCGCATGTGTATGTACACATGTGAATGTACGTGCATATATTTGTATGTATGTGTGTATGCACGTGTATGTGTATGTGTGTGCATGGGTGTGCGTGTTTCCGCAGCTGAACCTGCGGATGTCGCTCCTAACGCTGCCGAGCGTGCAAGACAGGCAAGGCCGTTCTTACCCAATTTTTCCTTCCTTGAGGGCTGGGCACCCTCTGTGCCAGGCAGTGCATGCGACAGCTTCGCAGGAGACGCCATAGACGGTGTGGAGGGGGCTGAAGGGCGTAGCGAAGGCGAGATCGCTTCTCCCCCCGTTCGGGGACTGGGAAGGGGCCCCCCACTGCTGCCTGCGGGGGGGCCCCCCCCTGCTGCGTCCATTGCCGCTTTCTCTTCTTCGAGGGCTTTAAGAACCTCCTCGTTGACGTCCCCCTTCCACTGCTGACGCAGCAGGATTGCCTCCCGCCGCGCGCATTCAAATCCCAAGTGTTTCACGCTAAAATATCTGCACCGCCAGCCAACAGACACACACACATACATATATATATATACACATACATGTACACACACATATATATATATATACACATACATATACATACATACACACACATACATATACACACATACATATACACACACATATACACACATACATATACACACACATATACACACATACATATACACACACATATACACACATACATATACACACACATACACATACACACACATACATATACACACACATATACACACATACATATACACACACATACATATACACACACACATATACAGCGGCTCTCCCCTGCGTTCTCCTGGAGATCTCCTGCCCTCAACTCACAAGTTAACACCCCGCTTGCACCCTCGTGTTAACGAAGGAGGAGGCAGCGAGGCACGCCGGAAGCAACCAAGGAAGAAAGAATAGGGCAGAAACGAGGTGCTACCTGGCCTTCGGTGCATACGCATTTACTAGACGCACCTGCACTGCTGCTTGCCGTGTTCTACGCGTGTGCAGATCCAATATCGGTTGCTCTTGCAGAAGGCAACGCCCCTCACTTTTTCTGCTGCAGCGCTCAACATGGGGTGTGTCGTCGTCCGCAAGGCAGCGGCAGCAGCACTCGCCGCGTTGCTGCCGACACTGGTGGCAACGCCTGAGACGCCAGCTGCTGCACTGCCTGAAGACGGCAGCAGAGCATCTTCTCCGCCTCCAACCCCAGCTCCAGCCGCTCCTCCCCCAAGCTGCTGATTGCGACGAGGCCCCTCAAGCAACGGCTGGTCTGGGGAGAAGGGATCGAAGTAATAGGGAGTCGAAGATAGGAGGGAAGGAGGGGGAGGCGGAGGCGGAGAATGCCACGCACTGAGCTCCTGTGGGCTGCCATCCGCGGGATCGTCTGCTGCAGACAAGGGCCCCGCTGTGTGCGCATGCGCGAAAGCCTTGGCAGCCTGATCGACTTCTCGCATCAGAGACACATAGTACTGCTGCATGAGTCGTTCCACGCTCGCAGATCCCTCCACAGCAGTGGCAGCCTCCCCGCTATCCGACAGATAGTCCTCTCCTGCCCCAACAGCTGGCACTGGCTTGTGCGACTCTGACACCCGCGCCAGCAAGTGAGCGCTGGGAGGTGGGCGTGGATCAAAATAGAGTTGAACAGCTTTTCCAGAGTCACCCTGTTGTTGTTGCTGTTGCCTGGCTTTGTGCCTCTTAGCACGCAGGGCGGCCACTTCTTCGAAGAGCTCCTGCAAAGACACGCGCGCTAGACGGGTTGCACAACAAAATGAAAAACAAAAAGATGCCGCATTCCTTGAACCTCCCTTCGCGCTGATCAGAGAGACTTGAGAGAGTAGGCTTAGTCATCCTCCTAATGCAGTGCACGGGCGAGCCGCGTAGGAGCTGAGCTATACATGGGAAGAGGGAAGCGTGGGGAAAGGCTTCCGCCCATGAGGCGCACATGCATTCATGGATTGAGGGATGGGCAAAAAAAGGAAGCATGCATGCATGCATGCATGTATGTATGCCAACGTACATCTAGAAAGGTCTCGGCCGCCCCCTTCGCCTCCTTCAGCACGCGGATTTGCTGAAGGGCAGCATGAAGTCTGTTTCGCATGTGCTGCAAGAGCAGCCTTCGTTGCCTGTGGAATCTTTTTGCTGCGCACACCAAGGCTCGTCTGCCTCCCCCCTCCTCCAGCGACTGCATAGAGGCGGCCTCTGTGCCTGTCAGCCCCCCCTCCTGCTCATCTGGAGACTTTTCATCTGCGGATGCCGAAGCGAAGAGAAACTCGTCTTCTGAACCGTTCCAAAGCGCCACCTGCCTAGAGGCCCTCAAGGGAAGCCGTTGCCGAGGCGCTTCAAGCGGGAGCTGCAGCAGGTCTAAAGCCTCTCGTAAATCCAGCACTCTATGAACGGGAGAAGCTTTTCCAAGGATGTAAGATGCCACAGGCACATCCAGGCGGGCGAAGAGCTCATGCTTCTTCTCCTGGTCGTCGTTGAGCTGCAACGACCCCCTGTCAGTACACGGGAGGGCAGGAGAGAAGGGGCTCACCGCTTTCCCAGGGGCGGATTCTACCTCCACTAAGGCCTCTGAAAGAAGTACCATAGTGGTACGTAGGTAGATGCGTAGCTGTACGCAGATCTCGGAAGGGTGCTCGGTGCTGAACTCGCCGTTGCGCCGTGGGGTTCAGCAAGGCGGAAAACGCCTGTAATATGCGGGAAAGCTGCCTATAAAAGACGCTGCAGCAAACCCTCTGGTACAAGCAAGTGGGAGAGCAGTCCCCCCTCCGCCGGGGAAAGCTCCGAAATCCGCTTATCTATATACAGATCCGCCTCCTGCAAACCCGAAGCCTGCATGCGCACGCCCTAGGAAGGCGACACAGTTGTCTTGCACCTCGCAAATAGTCCCTTTTTATTGTCCCTAGCGAAGCTCTGCAGAGTGAAGGAAAAAGGTAATGGCATCCACTGGATTCGATAGGCGTTTTCCGTCGCTGCGGGATGCTGCGGCGCTGTGTCACGCTCTGGGCAACCTGGAGGAGCTAGAGCGCAATAGAAAGACACAGCCTCACTCTTGGCAGATAATACTTGTAAGGGAATACCCGATTGTCAGTCCGAATGCAGCAAGTGCTCTAAGGCAAAATCCGTATACACGGAGAGGGTAGTTCGGCTCACAGGCAGTGGCCACCGGTGGCCTGAACAGCCCATAATACAGCAAGATAATGGATATACAGTAAATTTTATACACAAATAGCTTCAGAATGATACATATTGCCCCAAATGAAATCCGCAGCTAAGGCGCGAGGGACGTTCTTTACTGGCTGACAGTATTGCTGTACGCAGCGGCAGCGTACGATGACGGCAGCCTCTACGACTCGCATGCAGAAACCAGGCGCGTCAGGTCTGCAAACCCTAAATTCACTATAATGCGTTATATGTAAAATTTAAGGGAAGTTCGTGTTTCGTGTACATTCAACTTTTTTGCGGAATGCTTCATTGGACGAGCTGTACTGCATTGTCTAGACTACGATACCCGAAAGCGCTTGGAGGAAGACCTCCTTCGTGTTTCTTTGCATGGTCCCCCCTTTTCGTTTCTGCCCCAAAGGCCACCACACAGCACCACACACAACACCTCCTTTCCCATCCTGCCGACCCGCTCAGTGTGCAGCAAGCAGCGACACCCACAGAAACGGCAGCAGCAGCAACACTAACAGCAGCCACAAGAAATGCTCTAGAGGCAATGCGCAGCCTATTGTGAAGATACTCTCCCAGCGTGGCTCGGCACTATCCTGTCGAAGACGCTGGCCGCGTCCGGCTATCTCCATTCAATCCCAGACATGCCGCCGTATACGAGCGAGATTTTTCGAGGAAATTTTCTCGCGACAGGGGATGAACCATGCAGTTTTGATGTGAAAGAAAGGCGCTATGACGGAAACCCCCGACGGCAAACTTGCAATTTTCTTGCAACTCCTCATCAAAGTCCGAGTAAGCGGCGTTTCCTCCGCTACAGCCCTCATCGGTTTGCAGTGAGCTACTAGGGGATAAACGGAGACTTGTGTACTGCTAAGTTGCATTAGACACGCAGTCTGCCAAGGTTCGCTACGCTGTGTGAGTGACCCCCCGCCGCCGCTGTATGATTGGTGGTGTGCTCAGAGCCTACCGGCCCGTGAAGCAACTTGTCTCCTCGCATCTTTGTACAAGCATGCGGGAGAGGACCCCCCCTCCTTGGATGCCTTCGTAGCCCTCTGTAACGGACGCCTCACCGACAGCGGCATGCAAGTAGTGGTGCGCGACTCCTGAGCCAGCCTCGTGCTTTTTGATTCCTCTTCCTCCCTATCCAGCTCTCCTGCCAACTGCGTCCCTCTTTGCCCCTCCTGCACGCCCTCTCTCATCCTTCCAAGCGACGCTCTTTGCAACTCTTGCTGCCTGCAGATGGGATTTGATGGCAGCGGCTCCTCGCTGACTCTCCGCAGCACGGCCTTCTTGGATCTGTGGCCAGGCTCTGGCGAGTCTCTCCACAAGGCTGTCAGCAAGCGAAGCCTCCTCAGTGCTCAAGATGCCGCCTGCACCGCTGGTAATACATGCGGCGCAAGAAAACTCTTCGACTCTGTTTCCGTCTCTTTTTGCGCCAATTCGAGTCATTCGCTCACCACATATCCCGGCTGCACTGTGCCCTCGTGTGTCGGTGCCTGCTGTATGTACGCTGCAGCCCTGCTGGAACGGATCCTGCGGAATCGTGGGCTTTTTTCGTGTGCACTCTGCATTTCCTCCAGCAGCCTCTTCTCCCCATTGCCATACTGCTTTTTGAAGCGGTTGTTACCTGGGTTGCCTCGTGAAGGGCGGGGTGTCTGCTGCATTTCTTCTAAGCGGCGATCCGAGGAAGGGCCTTTGCTGCGCTGCGTTCCTCAGGAGGGGCCGTCTCGCTCGTGGAATTCACGAAACTCTGTGCGAATCACCGCGTCTTATCAGCTCCAAGACTGCGTACGCCGACTTATGTCAGACTTTGCTACATTTGAGCTGCGTGGGTGTGTCTCAAACGCGCGTGGGAATAACCCTCATCATCATTTTGTGAGGCGGCATGTGGTATTGGCGTCCTTTGCAGTGCGCTGTCTTCTCGAGCACCGCTGGATTGCAGCAGAAAAGCAGGATTCTTCTTCCGATTTCCGTATCGCGCGGCAGCTCACGCTGGGGCCGTGCTTTTTTTCGGTAAGGACAGAATGATGCCGATTTCGATGAACGAGACCTCAACGCCATACGAATAAAAACGCATACCCGCGTTTGTTTCACGTGCCATAGCCATATTCTGACGCGAGTTTGCTAAAGTTGCTACCGCGCCTCTCTTTCTCTCTACATCTGGCTCTCTTTCTCCCTCTTTTTCGTCTCTCGATCTCACTCACTGTCGCTCGCTCGCTCGCGCACTCTCCGTCGCTTGCTTTCCCTGTCTGCATTGCAGCACATCGCAGCGCACCCGTCTGTTTGCGCATGCGCAACACCTCTGCAGTAGTAAAGAGTTCCCTCTTTTTTCGCAGGAGTTTCTGCCACAACTGGATGGAGTGTTGACTACCCCGAAATGTGCAATCTGCAAGCAGCCGGCGCTTGTGAATGTAAGGCCGTAGCCGCCCTGGACTCCGCTGTTTTTGCCTGCTGCGCCTCCGCTTCTTGATTGTGAACATAGAGGCCGCACGCTCTTCCTTATTTTGTATTTCCAAGAGTGTGAAAATGCGTTTCTGTGTGTTTTCCAGGTAGAGCAGTGCAGTAGTTGCAATGCGGAATGCCACTGCAGCTGCGTTCGTGAGTTAACGAAAACCGCGGCGCAACGCGGAAGAGGGGCTTCTCTTAGTTGTTTTGCCTGTGGAGCTAAGTGGCAGACTTTATCCTAATTGTGTTTAATATGCTTTTAGTCCACGCTTTGAGTGTGCCTCGTCCTAACACTCCCGAGCTGCCGCCTAGGGTCTAGCAAAGCCTGCCGGCTTTCAAGAGGCAACAACTACCGACATCCGGAGGTGGACACACACACCGATGGAAGCACTGGTTGAGCAGTAATGAGGGATGCTAGAGGCATATGTATGTATCTATCTACATATATGTATACATATATATAGCAAAGGGTTTGAGGCACGAGTGCTGGGCTGCATCGAGGGATCTGATGTGCGGACGGGTTTTTTTCCCAAAACGTGTCCTCACTGTAGAACAAAACCAAGCTCTAGAGAGGTATTTACAAGACGTTTCTCAGCTTGGTACTATGCGTCCTGAAGTACAATGCACTGTATTTGCCAGCCTTCCCAGCGAATTCCCTTTGCGAGCGCGTTGAGCAGGGCTGCACTGCTGCCCTTGTACGGAAGAGTAGTGCGTACAGTATTTCGACTCACACCTGATGAGTTTCGTTGAAGAAGGCGGGGAAACCGCCGTTGCCATGTATCCAGCTTCGAAACTGATGAGGCTTTGCAGTGTGACCTGCCTTCTTGCACGCACTGCTGTTCATCGCGATGCTTCCCACGCCTGGGAAGCTGAATCGCCCCTTCTGCGACCATGGGGAAGCAGGCTCGACGTAAGCCTCATTGCAAGCTACATAGAAAGTTCTTGACTGTATTCGGAAAGAATTTCCGTCTTCCTTTCCCGCTGCGGCCCTCGGGGTTTCGTCACCAAGGTTGAGGGGCACCCTCTCTTATGCACTCCGAGCATTCTCAGGTACTTGCACATAGCATCTGACGCACAAGCACGTCCCACTGCATCTTCGTATACCAAGCTAACAGGACTGTGCACTAGAGGAAACGGACGAATGATCAAACCGATATTCGCCGTCGATACCTTTGCACGCCCGTGTTGAATACAACAATGGTGCGGGAACAAGTGCTTAAAAGCAACCTAGAGCGCTACAGAAGCTCCCGTTTAAAGTATTATGGCTTGATTTTATGAGTATCCAGGCTGCCTGCACGCTGTGCAGAAAGCTGTATCGTCGATCTCCAGATACGCGTGTGCGTGCGGAAATCGGAGGCTCTCTGTGGCAAGCTCTCATAGGAATACAGCAACGGCATGGCCTTCTTCAGATGCACCCTACGGAATTACAAGGTGAAGTGAGGCCTTCAACGCTACAATGGTGTTTGGTGAGGAGAGGTTTATCCACCAGTGTTTCCCCTTGGGCCGTGCGGGCGACGTACACGACAGGAACGTGCATGCGCTCGTCTAGATTTTTTCTTTTTAGAGCTCTAAGAGCAAGTGCTTGCAAAGAAGTTGCTGGTATAGCCTGTAGGCGCTCTTCTCGCGTGTTCAGGACGGTATTCAAGGGGCGTGAGGTGCTCATCAGTCCACAAACACCCCCCCCTTCCCCGTTGCGCGCGCTGCTTCGGGGAAAACGGCCTCGCCCGCACGCGTGGCTGCTGCCTTGTTGGTTGCAAAAAGCCCATTCAAAAAGGTTCCAATGGTGTTTAGGGGGGCGAAGGCGAAGAAGAGAGAGGACAGAGGACACGGAGAGGGGAGACGGCAGCACCCAGTGCCGACTCACAGAGAAGCAGTGCCGCATCGCCGAGAGGGAGAGCGCTGCCAAAGTGGGGTCGAAAGGCGCTCAAGAGAAGAAGGTGTCATAAATAAACGCAAACATTGAGAAAGACACAGCGATTCGGCCCATGTGCGTCTCCCTTGTTGCTGCTGTCTCCCGATAATATATAGCGGGTGCGGTGGTGTGCGTGAATCCAGTATAGCGCCTGCAGGCGCTCAGCTCTCTCTGTTGCAGCTCTGCATAACACAACACTCCACGCTATCCTTGGTGGAGGGAGCCTTTGTAATTGCTCTGACAAGTCTCTATTTTCTCGAGTTATAGCGTATTGCGAGAGCCTTTTCCGTGACTTAGACGGGAAGTGGGGCATGGGCTTCTACTCTAGTACGCGCTCCTCCTTCCAGATGCTCCGATGAAGCCGGATCGCGCGCAAAGAACCAACTATCATCCGTCATCCTATCGCTTCCATTTTAATGCCTTTTAGGGGCTAGACGCACAATAAAAACGCGCAGTTCCTGGAAGGCTACGGGCACCGTGTGTATGCGAAGGCGTGTGTGTGGCTCCGGAATTTTGATCGTCCGCACGAGCGCGTGTGCAACAGCAACACCTAGGAAGTTCCGTTCCTTACCGTGTTCTGCACTTGTTGCCAAGTTTCCTCAACAAAAAGCTTGCGAGGCATCCAAATTCCTCTTCGACTGCCCTCCCGCCTAGCCACCACTGCCGTTGTCGAGGACGAGGGAAGAAAGGCCTTGCGCCTCGCGTGGCTTTCCGACTCCTCTGCGAGGAGCTGCTCGTGGTGTCTTCTTCTGCTGCAGGCTTTCCGTCTGAACCCCTATTTAGCCCCCCCTTTCCCCCTTTCTGCGAGGAAGCGCCTCGTTGAGGCCCCCCTTTGCCGACTCTCGAAAGCATTGTGAAGCTTGCACCAATCGACAGAAACGTTCCCGCTGGCTAGTGAGCGCAGACACAGACACCCGCCTATGCATGCGTTCTCGCTGGCAAGAAAGCTCAGACAGCGCCTCATTAGCTGCAGCTGCCATCCCCGATTCTGGAGGCCACACAGGCGTAGAGGGGTGCCTCAAAGTCCGTTCGGAAGCAGAGAATAGGAAGAAGGAAAGAGGAGTCGATTCTTCTTTTCAGGCTGGGAGTTAGTGCCACTGAGTGAGGAGGAGGAGGAGGAAGGGGCCCTTGCACCCTGTTGCCTGCCTGCCTCGGCTTCTAGATGTTCTTGGAGAGAAATGAATACACTAGAATCGCCAGCTTCTAACTTCGCGGATGCTAAACAATCCCCCCGGGTATGTATGCAGCTGCACTCTGGCCTTTCCTGACTTGTTCTCCTCCTTGTCGCCCTTACGCTGTACTGTATCCGCACATTCGAGGACGTCTACATCGCATGCGAGCGAACGCCTACACGCAGCACCGCTAGAAAAAGAAAAGCCTCATAAAGGGAACGTGCCGTGCAGCCCTTAAGGAAAGGCCAGGCTTTCCTCTTCTCTTTCGCGCTGCACAACGAATTTCCCCTCATTTTTTTCGGGGTGACTGCAACGCCTGCGGAAGGCTTTGGAGCGCAGGGCATAGCTCATCGCCTTTTTTATGCCATGCCTGCATGTGTATTTGTATGTATATTTGTATGTGTATTTGTGTATGTGTATTTGTATGTGTATTTGTGTATGTGTATTTGTGCGTGTATGTGTATTTGTGTATGTGTATTTGTGTGTGTATTTGTATGTGTATGTGTATTTGTATGTGTATTTGTATGTGTATTTGTATGTGTATTTGTGTATGTGTATTTGTGTATGTGTATTTGTATGTGTATTTGTGTGTGTATGTGTATTTGTGTGTGTATGTGTATTTGTATGTGTATTTGTGTATGTGTATTTGTGTGTGTATTTGTGTGTGTATGTGTATGTGTATGTGTATTTGTGTGTGTATTTGTATGTGTATTTGTATGTGTATTTGTGTGTGTATGTGTATTTGTGTGTGTATTTGTATGTGTATTTGTATGTGTATTTGTATATGTGTGTATATGTGCGTATATGTGCGTATATGTGCATATGTGTGCATATGTGTATATGCGTATGTTTATGTTGCGTTGTCTACAGCATCCGCCTGCTGAGACTTTCTCTGCGTCTTCCTGCCGCTATGACATTATCCAGCTCCTCTCCCTGAGGCCTCTGCTGGCGCCAACTACCCCCCCTCCGCCATCCCTCTTGCTGCCCTCTTTCTCTGCTGTCGCTGAAGAAGCGACAGCGGAGAAAGAGGGCAGAAAAGCAGAGGCAGAGTCCGCCATCCCGCTCAGCGCTAGTGGAAGCACCAACAACACGCTAAGCCCGATAGCGGGGGAGACTTCCCTCTTCATGGAGGAACAAAAAACGCGCCCAGGTAGGCATGGTAGAGCATCAGACTGCGGCTGCTGCTGCGAATAAGCTACAGCGATGGTCAGTTTCTTTCTTGCAAAGCTCTTGCTAAGGATGAACTGCTAGCTAGCCCGCCTCATGGAAACCCAGCTAGTGCGGGAGACAGCTAGCCACCCCTCCAGACCGACAGAGAGGCCTATTCTAATGGGCATCAAACAGCGGCTCCCCGCGTTACATGTATATGCAAATATATACACCTTTTCTACACATACATACATATATATATATACATTGCCCAACACATACATTTTTATAAATACATCCACGAATATACACGTACAAACATACCCATACATGTACCTACACATACATATATACGTATATATATACACTGGCCTACCGCGATATACCTCTGCTTGTATTTTTCTGCCCCCTTTTTTCTCACCGTCTTTGCTTTTTTCTCTCTTTCCCGCATGCCTTGCCTGTACGGGCATGGCCTGTGTTTCTGCTTCCCACCGCTGCCTGTCGCAGACCAAGCCACTCTTCGAGTTGCTTCTCGTCCCCTGCACAACAAGCCTAGTCTCCCGGTAGCGTCCGCTAAGGCAGCAGAATGCTCTTCCGAAGGAAACTTGCCGGCGCCTTCTGAGGCTTCCGCTTTCTCCCTGCAGCTGCACGACGCTACAACGGATGGGTAAGAAGAGAAGACGCGATGACACCGCAGTTGCACTTCTTTTCGAGGCTTGTTGCACTCGCAGTGCACTTCTCCAGGGAGGCAAACAAGCCCTCCGTCTTCTCGAGGCATGAGGGCCTTCCCCTCCCCTCTCACCCCTTCTCATGCCCAGAAGAATACTCCTCCCATCAAAAATTACCTGCGGGGTGAAGGCTGTTGTGTGGCTTTGGCTGTGCTTTGCAGCTCCTCTGTGCCGCCTACCTTCGAAGAAAAGCCTAGAGAGACTCAGTCGCTCGTCAACCCCTGTCCAGATCTGCAAGCACTTCAGTACGGCTGTACAGGCTGCTGTCTCTCTGCTGCTAGGTGGCTGCCACTGCAGCAGCAGCAATCTCCTTTCCGTGGTTCGCGAGTTTCTGTGGGGTGCCGCGCCGAGCGGCGTCGCAGTCTTCTTCTGGCGTTTTTCCGCTGTCTTAGCGTGCGGCGGCGGGAGCGCTTTCTTTCATCGTGTTCCCCTTTGCGTGTTTCTGCTCTCGTGACTTGCTTTCTCGCTGCGCTGCGCCGCTGTCGCTGCAGCGCTGCCAGGCAGAGGATCGTGGCGTTGGCAGCCGCCCAAGGGGTCCAAGGTTTGCCCCTTTCGCAGCTGCTGCAGAAACATTTGTGTGCCTACAACTCCCTGTTAGAGCCGCGAGTTCTTGGGTTTGATGACTTAGGATCGCTTGTTCGGAGCGCATGGCCAGCTGTGGTCCTGCAGACTGAAGAAAGCCTTAAAAAAAAGGCGGAGGCGGATGCATCTGAGGAAAAAAGCATGCAGACTGCGTCTTTTTCCCGGCAGCAATGCGAGAATAAGGCTTCTCCAGCAGCGGGGGGAGAGAGTGCGTCTCTACTGCAGAAACAGCAGCAAGAGGAGAAGCAGAAGCAACTGAAGCAGCAAGAGGAGAAGCAACAGGAGCAGCAAGAGGAGAAGCAACAGGAGCAGCAAGAGGAGAAGCAGAAGCAACAGGAGCAGCAAGAGGAGCAGAAATATCAGCAGCGACAGGAGCAAAAACAGAAGCAGAAACAACAGGAGCAGAAACAACAGCAATCCTCCGCAAGCGACAGCAGCTGCGCAGTGCCTGTCATTTATTATGTGCGGCCTTTGTTAACCCTTGAGGCGCATCTCTTCACAAGTCTTCTCTTCGCGCTTATTGCAGATCCTGCATCTCAACAACAGCAGCAACAACAAGCGCAGAAGGAAGGAGAAAAAAGGCAAGAGGGCGATGAGGTCGAGACAACAGTGTCTCCTGCAACCCCACAACTTCCTGCTGGTGTGGCCTTCGCTGCTTTGCCGAGGCTTTGGCAGGTGAGCCGCAAAAAGTATAACACGCAGGCATTGCAATGCATTTAGATACATGTGAATACATAGGGATACACACCTACGTACATGTACATATAGACACATGTAGATGTTTCTTTGCAAACGAATCGCAGTTAGGCGCGTGTAGGCAGCATTAGGTGTATGAATGCATATGTTTGTGTGTATGTATGTATCTACGTATGTATTTATGTATGTGTTGTGTATGTATCTGTGTATGCATATGTATGTGTTATGCATGTATCTACGTATGTATCTATCTATGTGTCATGTATGTATCTATCCATGTGTCATTTATCTATCTATGTATGTGTTATGTATGCATCTATCCACATGTCATTTATGTATCTATGTATGTGTTATGTATGTATCTAAGCATGCATCTCTGTATGCATCTATGTATGTATCTATGTATGTATCTATGTATGCATCTCTGTAAGTATCTCTGTATGCATCTATGTATGCATCTCTGTATGTATCTCTGTATGTGTTAAGTATGTACGTATGCATCTATGTATGTGTTGTATATGTATCTATGTATGTGCATGTGTGTGCGTAGGAAAAGTACAGCGCCTTAGCAGATTTGCGACACTTTCAAGCGGCTGCAGGAGCTCGTGATTTGTTCACTTTTCTCGAGGCATTGCCAGAAGTTGTATTGCAGCGAACGCAGGGGGCCTTACTGGTATGTGTTGATGGCAGCCAAATGCACATGGGAAACATCTTTTTTGCGATCGTGTGGGGTAGTGTGAGCGTGCCTCTTGTGTGGATGTCTGACATCCTGTAGGCCTCACACACAAACACACACACACATATATATATATACATACACACATACATACACATATATATATAGACATATATATATATATTTATACATACACACACACATACACACACACATACATACACACATGTACATTCACACACATACACATATACACACACATACACACATACACATATACACACACATACACACATACGCATATACATACACACACACACACATACACATTCACACCCATACACGACTGAATGGCTTTAAAAGCTTTTTCTTGTTGCTGCAGCTGACTCTGGCGGAGGGTGTCTGCGTGCCGGAGGGTCCTCAGTACATTCCAACAGCCCTCAAGCGAATTCAGCGGCGATCTTCTCCCCAGATAAGCGGCAACGCTTCTTCGCTGATGCCTCTGCCTCCACCATCCGCTGCTGCATCCCTTGTGGCTGCCGCTGCAGCAGCGCCTCTCCTCTCGACTCCCGTGCTGCTGTCAGATTCGCATCAGCATTCTTCAGCATCTCTCCTGACCGGTGCAACCCCGCAACTGCAGCTGCAGCAGCAGCTGCAGCAGCAGCAGCAGCAGCAGCTGCAGCAGCAGCAGCAGCAGCAACGAGTTGAGTGGCCAGGGCAACCCCAGTGGGCAACCAGCATTAAGGCTGAACCTCCGCCTCCGAATTCGAACGATCCTCAAGGCTCTGTGTCGGCTGTAAGCCCCCTGTTGCAGCTGCTTTTGCCGCAGCACCAAACAGCAGCTGCTAAAGAGGCACATGGCAACACTCGCGGAGTCGATATTCGCAGGCTGCAGCGTGCAGCGATCCCTGCAAGTGCCGCCAGTCGAAAGACCTCTGCAGAGGCGCAACAGCAGCAGCAGCAGCAGCAACAGCAGCAGCAGCAACAGCAACAGCAACAGCAACAACAGCAACAACAAGCGGCGCTGCAGTTGCTGCAGCAGCTTCAGCCGCAACAGCTGCAGCAACTTTTGTGGGGAAAACTCGGTGGCTTGGGGGAGGCGTCTCTGTGCGAGCGCTTGACAAAGACACCCCTTCAGCTCGCAGAGCTGTTAGCCCAGCAGCACCAAACACAGCCAGCTTATCGCTCTGAAGGAGGTAACACTAAAACGACATACGTCTGGCTGCTGCCGATTAGACACTCAGTCACTTGCGGCTGTAAAAGAGGCACTTAGGCATCCCGCATGTATCTCGAGCAGCGTTATTCCCAGACACCTGTGAACTCGAGGATGCAAAAGATGTGCTTCTGCTGCCCCTTGCATGCGTGTGCTGGATTGTGGTGGACAGACACTGCGGCCTGTAGCGCTGGGCGAAGAATATCTGGCATTGTACAGCAACACCACCAGCAACAGCAGCAGCAACAGCAGCACCAGCAGCAACAGCAGCACCAGCAGCACCAGCAGCACCAGCAACAACAGCAGCAGCAGCAACAGCAGCACCAACAGCAACAGCAACAGCAACAGCAACAGCAACAGCAACAGCAGCCAAAGTCTCAGGCTGTTGGTCTTTTGGTGCAGTTGCTCGCCGCTCAGGGACTGCCCTTCGCGGGAGTAGTGACTGCTGATTCGCAGCAGCGACATCCCCTCCTGCCTAGCCAGCAGCAGCTTCAACTCGACACGCAGCCGTCTCAAGATTCCAGCGTCGGGGAGATGCAACTGCGGCGACGGCTAGTGAGCTTTGTGCGCGCTGCATGCAAGCAGCAACGGCTACAGTGGCAGCGCAACGAGGACCTTGTCGAAGTGCTCCGCAGCAGCAGCACACAGCAGCAGCAGCAAGGAGGGGGGGGGGTCGAGGAGGACGGGGTGACGCTGCAGCAGCGCCAGCAGTTACTGCTGCTGCTGCAGCTCGACAACCAGCTGCAACTGCTCCTGCAGCAGCAGCAGCAGCAGCAGCAGCAGCAGCAGCAGATGTCTGAGTTTGGAGGGGCCTGCACAACAACAGTGTCTCAGGGATGTGAATCCCAGCAGAGTGTCAGTGCTGCCCCTGCAGCAGCTGCAGTGAGGCAGTATTTGCAGCGTCTCTTAAGCTCGCCAGCCATTACGGCTGCTCGTCATAGCTACAGACTGCGGACTGCGGGTGCCTCTGTATCGGCGATCAAGCGAGAATGGAAGCATCAATTCGGTGTGTCTCTCGAGCTTGTTTTTGCATGCTCCTTCGACGCGGCCAGGAAACAGACAAGGCGTGTCTTGCATGCATGCATGCAAACCTGGGTGGAGTATCCCTGTGTGTGGGTGTATGTGTGTGGCTGTGCTGCTCCTGCTGCCTGCTCAGGGGAGTCGCTCTCTCAGCGGCTGCGGGAGGCTGGAGTGTCTTTTAGCCAAGTGGTGGAGGGGGAACCTCAGTTGTGTGTTTTGGGGTATGGAAGATCAGGGAGGATTGCTGTTCGACAACACCTCCAAGAATTTGGCTTGCTGCAGTGCATGGTGCCCCCTCAGCCTGCAGCGGCAGCTGCAGCTGCAGCTGCATCGCCTCCCGCAGGAGCGACTCTGAGCAGCAGTGTGGATGCGGTATGTCACATCAATTAAAAAGCATGCCCCTTTTCTCTTTTATCGCATCTGCAAAGCTACAATAGAGCAGCCCCTTGCGTGGCCGCCCTAAAAACGCGCACTTTACAGCACACAAATTATGCATGCACCACATGACATCTGTATATGTATATGTATATGTGTATATGTATATATGAATATGTATAGGTGTATATGTATGTATATGTATGTATATGTATGTATGTATATATATGTATATGTTCATGTATGTATATGTATGTGCATGTGTGTCTGTACACGTGTGTATGTATACATGTATATGTACATGTATGTATGTGTGTGTACGTATGTATATGTATACGTATGCATATATGTATACGTATGTATGTATATATGTATGTGTATGTTTACATGTATGTATGTGTATGTATATGTGTATGTGTGTGCTGTCTGCACAGATATCAACGCAGCCCACTCTCAACAGTCGTACGGCCGCTGCAAAAGCCTCGCAGGCAGTTCCCAGCCAAAAGTCTGCAGAGCAGCAACAGCAAAAGCAAGCGCTGTTGTTGCTGCTGCAGCAAATGCAGCAGCAGCAGCAGCAACAGATACAACAGCAGCAGCAACAGATACAGCAACAGCAACAGCAGATACAACAACAGCAGCAGATTCAACAACAGCACCTACAGCAACAACAGCTGCAGCAGCAGCAACAACAGCAGATTCATCCCGCAAGTGTTATCACCCGCATGGGGACGCAGCCTCCAGATTTGCATCAGCCGCTGCAGCAACAGCCACAAGACAGCACAGAGCAGGTGCTGCAGCTGCTTCATAGACTTCTTTCCGCCCGAGATGACCAGAGTGCTTCTGTCAGACAGCTCGAACCTATGAGCAGTAGGGGTAGACTCATGGAGCAGCAAGTATTGCACCAAGAAATCCAAGCAGCAACTGCTGCTGAGGCCGAGTCATCAGCTGCTGCTCTGCCGCCATTGGGAAGCGCTGCGAGAGCCGCAGCCTCCTTCAAAACGAACATTCATAGGTATGCTGATGAGTGCCATGACGACCCCCAGCCAGCTAGCCACGGCTAGCTGGCTGGGGGCAGCTTGCTTGTGGAGTCTCATGAGATGTGCTTTTCAGAAGAGGGCGACAGGGGTGAGAGTGCGGTGGGGGAAGAAGACGAAGCTGCCACTATGTAGTTGAGGCATGCATGCATGCATGCCTTCTCAGTCGCACCTCTACTGTGGCTGCTGCGGTAGTTCTGGCTTTGAGACGCGGGTTGGTGGGCGCAGGCTTTTGTATGTGCTCGTGGCGAAGCTGTGTCAGCAGCAGCACGCAAAGCATCTGCTTCAGCGCATGCAAATGGAAGCGCAGCAAAACCAGCAGCAGCAGCAGCAGGAGCAGCAACAAGAGCAGCAGGAGCAGCAGCAGGACGTGTTGCAGCTGCAGCAGCTAGGCCGGTGGAAGGCGGCTCAGGATGCGCAGACTCTAAGAGACAATGTGAGATTTTTTGGTGAAGCTGGTATTTGATGCAGGCACTGCTCGCGTCGTGTGCTGGAGGAGAGGCTTTGGTAGAGGCGTGGAAGTAGCCAAGAGGGAGGCAGATGGGGTCGTGCAGAGCACACACCGCAGCATCGAGAGCGCGTAAAACGCTGCAGCAGATGGAGAGAAGAGGGATAATTTGGCCTTGATTATAGGCTTAAATTGTATCGCGATGCGAGAGAGTGCTGCTTCAACTGCATGCTAATGCTGTCTTACGGAGATGTATGTGTGCCCAGGGTATCGTTGGCGTTCGCCTTTCCGATATCCCAACGGAGTGGCATCGTCTCTATGGTTGCGATCTGAGTACTCCCTTGCATCGTTCGGGGTATAACGACGTGAGTGTCTCTTTTGAGGCCTCTGAGGCTTTTTAGACGCATGCATTCCGCTCTCTTCTCTGCAAAGAGGGAGGCGCAGGAGAACGTCGCGTGTCTTCGTGTGGGGTGCGGGGGAAGGAGGGCCTTGTTGCGCAGTGTTTGTTGGCTGCACTGGCCTCCTGCGTGTCTCCTGTACTGCATGCGTGTCGAGCACTGTTGTGTCGTCTTTCTCTTTCGCGCATTCAGGTAGCCAGTCTGGTGGATGCTGTCTCTGGCCTTTTTGTGTTGGGGCAAGGAGATGGCGCACGCTGCCTTGTCACGCTGCCCCCTGCTGCAGACCAGGTAAGCACCTCCTCTGCAGCCGCAGACGGCTGCTGCCTGCATAAACGCGAGGAAAGCACTGCGCATGTAGTAGAAAGGCAGAGGGAGAGCTACTGGGATCCAGCTCCACGTGCTGTCGTGAAGTGTATCGGCAAAGACATGCCTGTGCATCTATACATGTACATCTATATGCACATATATACATACCTAGATACACATAGCTATGTATGTAGATTATAGAGATACATATATACATATGTACATACATATATGTGTATATACATGTGTATGTGTATATGTGGACATGTAGATATGTAAATATACGCAGAGCAGCGGCAGCAGGCCGTATCTCTTGCGAGGAGCTGTGATACATGGCTAGACATGAATAAACCGCACATGCTGTCGCTGCACCGCCGCTCCTGCTTGAGCCTTATTGCATACATAAGGCGTGGATTTGGCAGTAAAGGGTTGTAGAGAATCAGGTTTAGCAGATCGTGTGAGAGGGTTCGGAGTGTGGGCAGCACATGCGTCTTGCAACGGAGGGGGGGAGAGGTTGCGCCAAGAGGCCTTATGCAAGCTACCAGTAGCAGCAGCAGCAGTAGCAACAACTTCTTGGGGTGAGACTCTCTCATATGTGATGCAGGCGCAAGAAAATGTCCATCGAACCCTCGACGAGGTGCACCTACCTGTGAAAGGTTAGTGGTGGTTTCGTTCTGCCTGCAGACTTGAAGACATCTCCTTTCTAGCGTTGCTGTCGCTTGCGCAGCCTCTCTCTTTGCTGCTGCTCCTCTTGTGGCTCTGTGCACGATTCGTGTGGGCTGCGCTGCGCCTTCCTGCGTGTGTCTGCCAGTGCTGCCTTCGATGGCCAGCGGTTGCGATCGCCTGAAGAGTTTTATTGTCGCCAATGAGTGACGAAAGGGGCGGAGTGGGAAAGAAGGCGGCGGTAGGGAAAGGCGGTATCTGGCGGAAGCGCGACACACCAATCGATGGCAGTTGCATTCTGTCGGGTACCCTCCATGTACGACACCCTGAAGCCTCCAAAAGTCACCCCGCGAAGGCGTATACAGTATGTGTAAATATGTATGGGCGTACGCCTATGCGCAAGCCTCCCCTTCTAGCCTCCCACCATGTAAATAGGGCCCCTGCTGTATGTGTGTGTGCGGTGCCCTTCGCAATCCGCTGCTGGCTGCCAGTGCATGGCATATCGTCCTGTAGCTTCGCGGGGATGTGCTGCGGCCGTTTGTGTGTCTCGCTCACGCATCTGGTGGTCTCTGAATGCATAGGTCTCGACATGTGCATATATTATATATATAATATATAGTATGCATATATATACAGTGTCGGGTGTACAGAGACACCCTGGATTGCAGCTGCTGCCGTTCCCTCCAGACGCAAGGCAGAAAGTAACCCACGTGTTTTAAGGATTTGTTTGTACGCTGCGCCCTCACGTTGAGGCTTTCTGTTCCAGGAGGGCGGAAGGGGGAGAAGGGGTAGGAGGTGAAGGGGGAGAGAGGCAGGTTGTTCAGTAAAGAATTGCATTTCCCGACCCTCCCTGTCCTCTTCTGTCTAGCTTCGGTTGGGATAGGCGCTTTTTATCCTTGGCATTCGCTGCTTCCCTTGTAAGATTTCTTTTACGGAAGCATAGAGCACAGTGAAGGGGCTGCGGCAGCTGCAGCTTCTCTAGGTAGACGTGAGCAGCAGCGACGCGGAACGGGGGGGAATGCCTTTCTGGCAGAGTGGAGCCCTCCTCTAGGGAGCGCTTGGCTGTCTGAGGTACCTACTTCCCCTAAAGCCTTGACAAAGGCGAAAGTAGCTTTAGATAAAATTATATAGGGGTACTAGCGGGGGCTTGGCGTACAACAGAACACACCTCCCGCATTCGGAAATCAAAGGTTAAAATGCACAGAAACCGAAACATTTCTCCGCATCAATGGGAGGTCCTTGCGACACTCCACCTTTGCCGGTGTCATTTGTTGCTGTCTAGCCTTCAAGCTTCGATTTATAGGTTCATCCAACTCCGTTTCATGGCCGTTGCTTGCCCCTAAAACTCCAAGCTGGCAGAGGAAGAGGTCCCCAAGGTGGAAAGAACTGCCCAACTATCTATAAGGGTCACTTTTGCAGCGTTTCGTACATTTAATGGTGTCTATCGGTGCTGCTTTTGACGGCCACCACTAAATAAATTTCGCTTCGCAGTTCCTTCCTCATCCAGATCGCAGGGGCGGGTGGCGGCACACGTACACCTGTTGTAGCAGGACAAAGGCTCTACTTTAGTTCGTTGTACTGCACCGCTTATATCCAAACAAGTTTTGGTACAGAAAAAAGGACTCTTGTTCAGATTGGTATTTGCCGCAAAAGTTCAGCAGGCTAGCTTAATACATTTTAAATCAGCGATGTATGCCTGCCTATGCGCTGTAGCTTGTTGCCACATGCAACTGGATGCGCTGGAATGCTCGGAATTCGTTCAAAGTGTGTAGCACCACCCATGCCACTCGGCGATGCCTCTCCTCTCATGGTGGTAGCGGGGGGGATGACAGCAGCTGGGACCGAGTGAAAAGGGTCTTTTTCAAAAGGTCTTTCAAGAATTACACTTTAAATTCTTGTTGAGTTTGGGCTAACAGGGTCACCGTAAAGGGATTCTACTGGGCAGCATATACACGCCTCTGGGAGAAGACAGCAGAGCAGAAACAAGCCAGGCAATCGGAAGCATATCCACAACTGCAGCCTAGTTGGTTTCATTGAACAAACCACCAATGAGAGGCTAAAGGTTTCGCGCTGCTCATAACTCTCCGCCGGTGCTGCCTCTGTCGGTGTTCCCACTACCGCGTCCTTGTTTTCTCCATTGTTTTAACCGAGACGAAAGCTTGGCTATGAAAGAAATTCTTTATAGGCGCCGTCACTGGCACAACAAAAAAGCTCTCCTTGTTCATGGCGAGCAAAGACCACGCCCTTTTAACTTCTGTGCCCACGGTGCACATACACCCCCAGACCACAACTGGAAGACTCAGCGCATGACCGAGAGGACTTTTCTGCATCCACTAGTTAGCGGCCATCCCTTATAAGCCAGTAAAAGAAGAGCAATGGTGAAAACGGATCTGATTGGGGGGCATTCTTCCTTCGTCTTCCGAAGCTGCTCGCGGCAGTCGAGGGGCCCCTGCCCCTCGGCAAAGTGGCGCTGCGCTGGCGGCGCGGTGGCAACAATCCGCTCAAACGACCTCCCACAGATATTTTTGTTTGTACTACTGCACTTCTTTTTATTGGCGTCGCAGCTGTAGACAAGCGGAAGGCAGAAGAGGGGCCAGCAGCGCCCTTAGCGTTGACTGTACCCGACGAGACAGAGGAGCGTCTGCATCTCATTGCTCCTTTCTCTCTGCACGGCTTACCACTGTATTTCCTTTGCCACAGCCACATGATTCATCAACTATCCCAGAAGAAATAGGAGAGCGTGGTAGCAACCACGCGCCTGCCTTCCCTCCCCCCTATTGGAACGCGGCTCTTTACCTAGTGCTGGGGAGGGAGGGACATGCACTGCGGTTTTGGACTCCCTTTCCCCATATTACTTGCACAACTGCCCGTTTTATGGCGTAGCTAGCCTTTGAGAAACTCGCCGTCGCTTCTTCCCAGTCGAAGGGCGCTCCCGTGGCAAAGCGGTCCAGTCCTCCGTCTGCCTATTCTTCTGGTTTCTTCAAAGCCCCTGTTTGTATCCCAGAAGCGCTGGTGTATCTGCGTGCATCGATTGTGCACCTTGAGGGGTATTCTGTGCCCTCAATAGTTATCAGCAGGGTCTTTTCCTGCTGCAGCAGGAGCCCCCAGGACTGGTCCTGGTGTATATACATACATATACATATATATATTTACATATGCAGCAGGGAGGCAAGCGGTACCCTTGATCTTCCTTGTTTTCATGCATTCTTCATTTCATAGATAGGCCTCTGGCATCAACAGGAAAAGCGGCTCGATAGGTGTTTCGTGGACCGCCGAATAGGCGGGTACGCTCGTTATTGCATCAAGCCCACTCCTCTAAAGTAACCCGCATCTATGCCTCCATACGCCGCGTCGTGCGTTGCGTTTGTTCAAGCTTAGTCCAAGGCGAAAGAGAGAGAGAAAGAAGATCCTCCATTTTAAACTTCTCCGCCTCGCGCTCTTTGAAAATATCTCCTCATCGAGCACCCCATTCACCACAAGGCCCCCTAAAGCCCTCTTTTCCTGCCATTGACTTGGGCGCTCTGTTGCCTGGGGTGCTCCCTTGTTAAGTCTTTCTGTATACTTGGCTTCTCCCCAGCTCGACTGATCAGCAGCCTTTCGTGGCCAACTCCCCCATACGTATACATACATATATATATATCACCCGCACTCCGAGGTGTTCATCAAACCTTTTGCAATGCAACCAGAAGACAAGGCCTCCCATCCAGGTACATAATCGAATGCTTTGCCTCCTCGCCGCGCTAAGGCTCCCTCTCTCTCTCTGTCTCTCTGTCTCTGTCTCTCTCTCTCTCTCTCTCTCTCTCTCTCTCTCTCTCTCTCTCTCTCTCTATATATATATATATATATATATATATATATATATATATATATATATATATATATATATAGACCCCTAGTAACCGAGGGCCGCATCTGCCCGTCTGGGGTGGCATTTTCTCCCTGTTTAAACGCAACATATATCATCACGCAACCCACTGTCCAGCCTTCTGTATCTCGCGACGATTTGCAGCTTCCTCCTTGCTTTTAAAAAGAGAGAGGCAGAGAGAAGACGGACCGAGAGACACACCGAAAATGAATGCGCGCTTTTTCTTCTGCCCTCTGCCTATTTCTTCAGGTTGTTTTGATTCGGCGTATCCCACTTATGTATATGTGTATGTATATGTTTAAGTGTCTTCTGTTCGGGTTTGCAGCTTCAGGAGGGCAGACTCCTGCGGATGTACTGAAAAGAGTCCGAAGCGAAGGTTGTGTGCTGAAGAAACAGACTCTTGTTCGCAACTCCCCTCTTCCGCTGACCTCTTGCTATCGGGTAAACGCTGTTCGATCCCCTCGAGGGGCGAGGGGGGGCGGTGGGTGGGTGTAGCGCCTTTGCTGCCATCGCATGCGCTTCTTCGTCTTAAGACGAGGGAAAGCACTGATGGGATTTGTTCTGCCTTTTTCCCTTTGGCTGCATGTGGAAACGTTGGTTTTGATGCATCTGTAAAGGGGTTGATCTGCCTTTATCGGGCAAGCACATGCATACATACATATATCTATCTATGCGTGTAGCTGTATATTGGCATCCATAGCTGCATATATACATGCATTCATGTGTATGTACGTATCTAAATCTCTCTCTCTCTGTTCGTCTATACGTAAAACTGTGCCCCGTATGTAACTGCTTACCCGTTCATGACATGAAAAGTCGGTGTGGCTGTCTGGCCTCTTTGTTAAAGCGCAATGACGTTCCGTATATTTGAGCACACGTGTTAGATGCGCTGCTATGTGCCGAACGATTGCGTCTTGTTGTTTTCGCAGCTGGAAGAAGTCATTGGCTATGGCTCTTTTGGCTGCACAGTTTTCCGCGCAACTGATATTTTTTCTGGGATTCGTCGGGTTGTGAAGTGCGTTCGCAAGGAGCAGCCGGAAGGCATCTGTCTGTGCAGGAACGAGGTCAAGTTTCTGAGAACCTTTGACCATCCAAACATTCTTCGTCTCTTTGAAGTCTTCGAGGAGAGCGGCGCAGTCTATCAAGTAAGGCAGGCGGTTATCGGAGAGCAATCGTGCAGGTCGTTTTCATGATGAGCCGCGCTTATATTGTGTTTTTGCACGGCAAATGGATGGATGTGTAGAATGTCAGGGGGAGGAGGGAAAAAGGGGGAGAGGGCCCTGTGGAAATACTTACACTGCGCACAAGAAGGAACACTAGGCGCATGTGTTTCTTTGCATCGGAGTGGCTGAAATATATACATATATATACTTGCATGCATGTGGAGGTGTATACCTCTCTATTGGCAGCAATGCATGTGTGCAAATCTTGTGGCGCTTACTCACATGCCGTATGCGAAGACATTTCGGCACTGCTTTTTACCAAGCCCCAGCGTTTTGGGGGAAGGGGTGGGGAGTTAGGTGTGTTCGCCTCGAATATTCAAAACGCGCGGTTCGAAAAAAGTTGCCGAGCGACGATTCCGCCTAGCGAGTTGTGATTTCGGCAAGTGACGAGTGCGCCACTTGCTGGGACCCCGCCTCCCTTTGAGATGTCGCGACGTCAAGCAAGTTGAGTGCAAGCCAGTGTACCATAGATATTGCATGCACAGCTCTGTAGAGAGGTCTGTGGGAGGCGGGCGTGTTTCTACGGATGGACTGCGTCGCAGCTAGATGTGCTGGAATAGCCTTGTTGCGGTGTACATACACCTGCATGTATGTATCTTTAGACATGCCAGAGCTGCCCAAGGGCTCTCGCTCCTCGTCTCCCTCCCCTCCACGCGTTCTACGCATGCACGCCGCGCAAAATATACATTCTAGTCCTTCATGATAATGCTCAAGATTTTCGTTTCCTGGGGCCCCTCAGTTTTTTAGCGTCCGCGGCGCTTGCTTTTCGCCAGGCACGCGCGACGTTCGGCGGTTTCCCCTTGGGCATGTGCATTATGAGGCCTTGTTCGTGCATATGTATATATATATGTATTTATAGTACGCTCTTATATGTATATCCATATGTATATATACATGTCTAATTATACACGCGAAACGACCTCATATCCACATCGATTATACACTATTCGGGATATGTTCAGAGAGAGGCGTTCCGGAGGCTTAAACTTGCGTATGATTGCTTTCGCTGATCTCATGGTGGACTATTGGGTTTTTGGTGTTTCTATGTTGCATCTACATTGTGTGATTTTTGGTGTTTCTATGTTGCATCTGCATTGTGTGATTTTGGGTGTTTCTATGTTGCATCTGCATTGTGTGATTTTGGGTGTTTCTATGTTGCGTCTGTGTTTTATGATTTGTTTTTGAATGTTGCGTCTGTGTTTTATGATTTGTCTTTCTATGTTGCATCTGCGTTTTGTGATTTGTGTTTCTATGTTGCATCTGCGTTTTGTGATTTTGGATGTTTGAGTGTCGCGTTTGCGTGTTATGCAGGTAACGGAGACCTGCCATGGCGGCGATCTGTATCAGTGGCTGGATCGACGCATTCGCAGGCGGAAGCGTCATGCGAGGAAGGCTTCGCATGCGTTTTTCATGCCGCTGAAGAATAATTATGTGCAGGAGGAGTCGCATCGGTGGCAGGGGGGCCTAAATGAGTCGGTTTCTTTGAGTGCTTCCTTTGCAGCAGCAGAGAGCGTGCCTCAGGCGGTGTTGAGTAGCCGCGTTAGCCCACAGCAGAGCGAGAAAACCGAAGGCTCGTCGACTCCTTTTGCAGCGGCTCCATCCGTGGGGTTTGCGGGGGGAACTCCCTCTGGAGTAGCCACCAACAGTGGGATATCTCCGACGTCGGCTGCGAGCAGCAACCGCTCAGGAGGAAGCATGCGGAGTGCGTGCCCTGCTGCTGTGGGAGCTGCAGCTGCAGCTGCAACAGCAGCAGCAGCTGGGCTGCAGTGCCCATCGAACGGCGTGGCAGGGGAAGCGGCAGCAGCAGCAGTAGCCACCCCGCTTCAGCCTTTGGTTTCGGAAGAGCTAGCTGCTCGGCTTGCGGCGCAGCTGCTAGGGGCCCTTCGGTATTTGCATGCGAAGGGTGTGGCGCACTGCGACTTGAAACTGGAGAACGTGCTGCTTCTCAACGAGCTAGACGACTCGGAGGCTGGTGACGGGCAGAGCAGCGAGGAGGAGGAGGAGGCGCTGCTAAGGGCTGAGCAGCAGCAGCAGCGGCAGCTTTTGGTCCTTCAGCAGCAGCAGGAAGACGCTGCCGCTGCAGCGCTCTGCAGAGCGAGAAGGGGCATGCGGGCTCTTAGCAGCGCGCAGCTCGGCTTGTTGGCGAAGACGCAGGCCAGCAGCAGCATTACCAGCAGCAGCAACAGCAGCAGCAGCAGCAGCAGCATCAGCAGCATCAACACCAGCAGCACCAACAGCAGCAGCAGCAAGACGACGAGCAGCAGCAAGACGACGAGCAGCAGCAGCAGCAGCAGCAGCAGTCTGCAGCGAGGCGCTGCAAGCAGCAACAGTACAGGTGCTCTGACGATTGTTCCCATGGTCTTGCGAAAACGAAGAGAATCCAGAAAACGCTTAGACTCGGGAGGAGGGGGCCTCATAGAGCTCTCAAGTCAGGAGAATTCTTCTCAGACGCTGCTCGATGGACTGAGTCGGAGATCTGTGACTGTAAAGCTCGCAGACTTCGGGTTGGCACGAAAAATTGTTCGCGGCAAACCCTCCAAGGTGAGTCTTGCGATCGCTGTTTCTTCTCGCCACGCTTCTGAGGCTGCCCCCTCCTGGAGCTACTTGGAGAGCGTAAAGGCCTCAAGGCTCCCTCGTCTCGAGCGTAAATAGGTTCTTTTTCTGAGGCTGCAAAGCACGTGGCACTGCTTCCGCATGCATGCATGCATGCATGCATGCGTGCATGCGTCTTTGCCCTCCTCTGTTCGAGCTCGTCTCGGTGCATGCGTGTCCTGTAGATCTCGGCTTCGCACTGTCTCCGCATGCATACATGCATGCACACCTCTCGCCTTGGTGTGTGGGGTCGCTGCTTCCAGACAACTGGCAGTGAGGTTTGCCGAGGCACGTTGTATTACCGTTCTCCATGGATAATTAGGGGCATGACGGAAGGCGATGCTCGCAGCGATCTGTGGGCGCTTGGTGTTGGCCTCTTCATTCTCTTCACGGGGAGGCCTCCCTTTGATGGAGCTACGCAGGAAGATGTCGAGAAGGCTGTACGTGTGCAGGGAGAGAGGAAACTTGGCTGCTTTCTTCCAGCCGTGCTTGCTCTGCAGTCATGTTTAAGAAAAGGGGGCTTCTTTTCCAGTGCTGGGAAAGGATAGGCGACGCGTAGAATTGGACGCAAACCTCACAGCCTTCCATGGGCCTTCTTCTCTTTCTCCGGCATATTCGATGGCTTCTTTGCTTTCTTTCTTTCCAAGACACGGACCCCACAGATCTTTGTCTGCTTACGGGTGCTCCGTTCGTGCATACTTTTCTCTCTGAATAGGGGTGTGCTCATGTGTGCATTTATTCGTGGCCTCCTGTGTGTATCGATGGTTGTTGTTTTTGTAGCTTTGTGTGCGTATGTGGAAGCATACATACATATATATATATATATGCGTGTGTTTGTGTCAAAGTGCGTTTAGTTGTCTATCTATGTTTGTCCATGTATCTCTCTTTATCTATTTATCTGTCTTTGTCTATCTATCAATCTCCTTGTCTATCTGACTATGTTTGTATGTATATTTGTGTCTCTCTCTCTGTATATATATGTATCATTTATCGTTGTGTATATGTGTGCGTCTCACAGAACACTTGTATGCTATTCTACACCTGTAGCCTGCCTCCCGGCTTGCGTGTCGAGAAGCAGCAAAACGTTTGAGGGGTCGCTCCGTTGTGTTTGCCTTTCAGGTGACAGAATGCCCAGTGTCTTTCAGTGGTGGAGCGTGGCCAGTGTTGTCGCTGCAATGCGTGGGGTTCTTAAGGGCCTTGCTGTACAACCCGCTGCTGCCTCTTCACTTACGAGGACCCCCTCCACCCCCTCCCTACGAGCATCCGACTGCGGATTTGATGCTCAAGCACCCGTGGATTAGGCAATGTGGCAGAGAGGAGAGACGGAGTGAGCGCGGTCCTTCTAAGAGCCCACATATACATACGTATATAGGGAGAGATATATACAGATATATCTATATATATAGATAGATAGATAAATAGATATGTGTTGATAGATATAGATATGTATTGAAACATATAGATAGATTGATAGATATGTAGATATATATATGTATAGATTGATAGATATGTAGATATGTATATATAGATAGATTGATAGATATTTAGATATATATAGATAGATTGATAGATATATATATATATATATAGATATTATCGTCAAAGGGGGTTGTCTTGTGGTATGGCGGCTGGCATTGCGCGCGTGTAATGTGGGAAGGGGGGAGAGTGGGGGGGAGAGGAGTGCAGTGCAGCTCACATTTAGGCTGCCTTTATTTAGGCAGTTTTTTCTCTCGGTGCTGTGGATAGCTGACAGAAGCCCAGGCCTGTGGCGTTGCTGGTGCCGCTTTTATCTGAGGTTTGATGATTTGCGTTTTTTACGGTTTTTCTTTTCAGCGGGAGGGGGAGTGTGTGTGTGTATATATATATGTGCTGTCTCGGTGAATAAGCATAAGCATTATTTGCGAGACAGAGTTGAGCGGATTTTATGCGGGGGGAAGTTGAAGGGCAGGCTGGCGATAGAAGTCCGTCGTTCCATGCGCTTCTCATTGCTCCCTCTATGGCTCGGTCGTTTGCAAGTGTTTAGGGGGGGTTGTGTTGAGTCTGCTGCTGAGAGGCAAGGTGCAGTGCCGTTGGGAGTGTGGATTTTAGTTTTTTGTGCTGTGTTTTTGCGCGATGTTGCAGAGGGGCTGATGCGGGTACTGTCAGCGCCGTCCATTCAGAGACTCTCGCGTTCGACGGGGGGAGAGGACTGCTCAGCGAGAGCTTCTAAGGGCCATCCTTCTCCTTCTCTCGTGCAGCAGCAGCAGCCGGGTGTCTCGACACTAGACTTCAGGATGCTGTCGCTGCAGGGGTCTTGGCCGCGCAGTCCACCCGTAGCCTCCTCGCCTTCCTTGTGTTCATACACCGTGCAGCCGCTGCAGGGGAGGAGTGCAGCAAAGGCAACTGCGAATGCGAAGAAAGTGGGGAGAACGCTGTCGCACTCTCCTGAATTGCAGCATGGGACGGATGAGGAGAGTGCCTCTCCAAAGAAGGCCGATTTCCGCGCATGCTGTTCAACGTGCAGCACGTGGAAATGCGCCTACGGGTGTTGTTGTTACTCCCATCCGATGCGAAAAGACGTGGCCTTTCAGCCCTTGCGGCTGTGCTGGGGTAGAGCTCCTTTGGTTGTGGGGTCGACTTCGCGGGAGACACCTTCCTTGCTTGCGCATCGCATGAATCAGGGAGTTCGTGACGGCCTCTCGCCACTTCCCCAACAGTCCCTCTTAGGTTCATCGCCGCTCAACGAGGCTATTCGCAAGACGCCTCAGGAGTGTCTTGCGGATACCTCCAACGCGGTGCTTGATGGGAGGAGGCACGAGGCGTCTGAGATGCAGATGCAGCAACAGCAGCCTATGCAGATGCAGCAACAGCAGCCTATGCAGATGCAGCAACAGCAGCCTATGCAGATGCAGCAACAGCAGCCTATGCAGATGCAGCAACAGCAGCCCATGCAGATGCAGCAACAACAGCAGATGCAGATGCAGCAACAACAGCAGATGCAGATGCAGCCGTCATGCTGCAAGACGCAGCAGCAGCAGCAGATGCAGCACCAGAAAAGGCCTCGTCCTCCGGCATCTGAAGACAGCTCTGCAAAACATGGCACATGTCCAGCTGCTGCCCTTCTTGAACGGCTGCGCAGCTCCACGTCGGCTACCCCTGAAAAGATTTTAGAGCCGCATGGCTGCTGCCCACTGCGTGTTGCGGGTGTCTCGTCCTTGAGCTGCCTCACATGCGGGGGGATGGATCCCTCGGTGTTTTGTTACGAGGAAGACGCGCAGCAGCAAGGTGCTCTGAACGATCATGCGCTGTACAGAGGAGTCTCTGCCTCCAACTTGGAGCCGTTAAAGCCTCACTTGCGACTCTCAGGTCCATCTGCCAGGATGCACGGGTTAGAGGGTTGTGCAGCAGCAACTAATGCAGCAGCAGCAGCTGCTGCTGCTGCTGCTGGTGTTGCTAAGGCTGTGCGCAGGGAGACAGAGGCCACGGTGTCTGGACACTTGGGACTGCCTCTCGAGAACGTTCCGCATTTCCATCTGCAGCTGCCTTTAGAAAGTGCCTTCTCCCCACCAACACCGTCTGTTCGGGGGGAAGCCTCAGCAGTTATTGCTGGGGGAGCTGCTGCTGCTGCTTCGCCTCCCCCTTCTCCGGAATCCTCGTGTTGCAGTCGTTCCGAACAGCCGCCGCTTCGCGAGCTCGTCGAGGAAGCGATGGATATTTGCACAGACGCAGGAGAAGCCTCGACGGTTGTGACCACTGGAAGCAGGAGTCACAGCAGCACCTGCAGCACATGCAACAGTTCCACCTGTTGCGCATGCAACAAATGCGTGGGTACCAGGTGCAGCAGCAAAGGATGCTGCATAGCAGTCGTCGACCTGCTGACTGCGGAGTTGTTTGAATCGCGTGTCTCCTTCTTGCTGCAAGCCTGTGCGTGGATTGATTTCGCGCGGCTAAGTCCTCTTCAAAGGGCCTTGCGGTCAGTTGTTGTGAAGCTGATGGAAGAAGGCTCCGCCGTGCGACTCGTTCGAGACATCTTTTGGGTGCTCGATCCGCAGCAGACTGGATCTGTTTCGCGTAAGGCAGGGGGCAGAAGAGGAGAGGGGACGCGTGGGTGTGGCGATCGGGATAGTAGGGAGGGGAAGTGGTGGGGTTGTTGGCGCCTGTTGGCGCTTGCTTGTGGCTGTGGCGGGAGAGCCATAGTTCCTTTTAGGCATTCATACATACACACATACACATACAGACACACATACATGTATGTATATATATATATATATATATATATATATATATATATATATATATATATATATACATATACACACATATATATATATATATATATATACACGTACACACATACACATACACCTATAGTTTTTTTGACAGTGTCTTTTTTGGGAGCTTTGTGCTTGAGAGGTTCTAGACTGACGGACTCGCATGGTGTTTGTTTTTATCTATCCTGGTGGGCGTTATGTGGCCTTTTCGCGCAGAGTGGAGGTGGGTTTTTGTGTGTATGTGTGTGTGTATATATATATGGTTGTGTGTGTGTGCTTGTGTGTGGTTTCTCTTTTTTGTGTGTGGGTGTTTGGTTTTTTGGTGGTGGTGGGGGGAGGAGGTGTGACAGTGGTGGGCAGAAGCGAATTGCGGGGGACACCGGCATCGGTAAGAGACAGCAGTAGGG